CAAAGTTTCAACGTCGTTTTCTTAAAAAATCCCGGCAAGTTCCAAAACCCGGTTACTGTTCACGGGTACGAAACACTATTCCCGAACTCAAAATCTGATCTCCACCGTTCAGATTGTGCGACACTGAGTCATGAACCTATCCTCCAATTTCAGCTCGATCGGACCACGGACGAAACGGGATCGGATGTTTGATGAAATCTGGGCAGAATGGAAAAAAAACCCGTGCGACCCAGTTACTGTTCACGAGTACGAATTACTGTTCCCGGAGGTCAAACTCTGATCTCCACCGTTCAGATTGTGCATCACTGAGTCATGAACCTCTCCTCCAAAATTCAGCTCGATCGGACCACGGACGAAGCGGGATCGGAGTTTTGATCAAACCTTGACAGAATGTGAAAAACTGCGTTTTTCCTTCTCCACTTCCACAAAACGTGTGCTTTGTTTAAAAAAACCCTACACAGACATCTACCTTATACTTATAGAGTTTTCTTAAACCCTAGGTTAATTTAAGTCCAACTCACAATCCTAACCGGGCCATCCAATTAACGTAAAAACCTACGACGGCTATAATATAAAACCCTAATTTATACTGTAATTAAAACCCTAGTTAGATGTATTTACCAAATTACCCTATTCACCATTAAATACTTAACAAATAATCTAATTGAACAAAATAATAATTAGTAAATCCAATTAAACCAAATGAGACACACATAGAATAATTAAACCAATTATACTTAGATCATTAATGCCAATTAAATAATTAAAACACTAACAAGTAATTCCAATCAAATAACTAAACCAATTACACTTAAACTATTAATGCCAATAAAATAATTAAAACACTAACAAGTAATTCCAATCAAATAACTAAAAATAAATATCATTTAAATAAATTAAATCACCACAAAAGAAAACAATTAAACACCTAATAAAAAAAAAAAAATGACACATAATCAAATAAAATGCACTTAAATAATAAATTAAATACCATTAAATACCAAAAATATCCTTTTTAAAATTAGGGGTATTACACTGGCCGGTTATATTGTGATAATTATCCATAAAAATAACTAAAAATAAAAGTTTTATATAGGATGTGATTGATTTTATTAGGTAATTTTTATAGTTTTATAGAAATTATAATTATACATAAAAAAAATAACTAAAGATAAGAGTTGTATATAGAATGTGATTGATTTTATTAGGTAATTTTTAGAGTTTTATAGAAACTATTTTTACAAAAACTATTTTTATTTCAATTAATAAATATTTTTTTATATAAATAAATAAATACTGAAATACTGAAACACTTTACACATTTAATAATAAAATAACTAGGAAAAGGCACGTGCGATGCACGCGGTGAATATTTTGTAACTTGTAAAATTTTTGTTTTCATATTGATTAATAAAAATTTATTTTATATTAATAAATAAATACTGAAATATTTTGAAATTGGTGATAGAGTTTAAGTTTCGTAAATTAATAAATTCTTTTATGTTTTTATATTAATACTGAAATATGTATATTTTATTTTTTATTAAATAATAATTTTTTATTTAAATAGTGAAATATTTGAGTTTTGCAAAGTAACAAATTTTTTTAGGTAATTTGTAATTTGAATTTTATTAGATAATTTGAAATTTAGTATAATTTTTAATTTAAAATAGAAATTCAATTATATTAATTTTTAAAATAGAAATTCAATTATACTAACTATACATTAGATTGAAATTGATATAAAAATTTATTATATGGAGTTTGTGGTTTTTGGAAGACCCTAGGTTATATTTTATTTTCGTTAAATATGTAATTTGTAATAAAATTTTATAGAAATTATTTTATTTTATTTAGATATATCTTTGTAAAATTAGATTTTCTTTTATTAAAAAACTCATAAAAAATAGATAAATATAAGGGTTATATACTTATACGTGATAGAGTTCTCTTTTTGTATTAATTAATAAATATTTTTTATATTAAAAAATAAATACTGAAATGTTCAAATTCTTTAACGTTTATATTTTATTTATATATATTATTATATTATTATATATTTTCTTTAAATATATCGTTATCTAATGTGATAGAGTTATATAAATTATTTTATTTTCTTTAAATATATCCTTATTTAATTATATTTTATTTTATTAGAAAACTCATAATAAATAGATAAATACAGGTTATATGTGATAAAATTTTAAAGAAAATAAAATACTTAATTTGTGGTAAAGTTTTGGTAATTTTTGTTAGAGTTTATAAAAATTATTTAAATATATCCTTATCTAATGTGATAGAGTTTTATTGTAAATAAAATAGGTAATTTGTGGTATAATTTTATATAAATTATTTATTTTCTTTAAATATATATATCCTTGTCTAATTAGATTTTTTTTTATTTATTAAAAAACTCATAATAAAAGATAATTTGTGGTAGAGTTTTAGAAAAATTATTTTATTTTTTATACCAATTATTAAATATTTTTATATTAATAATTCTTGTCTAGTTATATTATATTTTATTAAAAAATTCATAATAAATACATAAATAGGTAATTTTTATTACAATTTTATATAAACTCTTTTAAAAAAATATTTTATTTTCTTTAAATATATCGTTGTCTAATTAGATTTCCTTCATAAAAAAACTTACAATAAATAGATAAAAACAAGTTATATGTGATAGAGTTTTAAATAAAATAAAATAGATAATTTGTGATAGAGTTTTATAGAAATTATTATATTTTCTGAAAATTTATTTATAATAAATAAATAAATAGGTAATTTGTGTTATAGTTTAATAGAAATTCTTTAAAAAACACTTTTTATATCAAATAATAAATATTTTGTATATTAATAATTCTTGTCTAATTAGATTTTCTTTTGTTAAAAAACTCATAATAAATAGATAAATAGGTAATTTGTGTTAGAGTTTTATAGGAACTTTTTTTCAAACCTCTTTTTATATTAATAAATATTTTTTTATCTTAATAATGCTTGTCTAATTTGATTTTCTTTTATTAAAAAAACTTATAATAAATAGATAAATAGGTAATTTGTGATATAGTTTTATAGAAATTCTTTTAAAGACTTTTTTTAGATCAATTAATAAATAATTATTTATATTAATAATACTTGTCTAATTAGATATCCTTTTATTAAAAAACAGTTAATAAATATATAAATAAAAAATTTGAGTTAAAATTTTATAGAAACTCTTTAAATATTATATTTTTGTCTATTGTGATAAAGTTTTATTGAAAATAAAATTTGTGATTTGTGATACAGTTTTATAAAAATTATTTTATTTTCTTTAAATATATCCTTCTTCCTTTTAGCAGCATAGTGTACCTCATAATCCAGCATTTTATTAAAAAAACTCATACTAAAAGTTAATTTGTGGTAGAGTTTTAGAGAAATTATTTTATTTTATATATCAATTAATAAATATTTTTTATATTAATAATTCTATTCTAATTAGATTTTCTTTTATTAAAAAATTCATATTAATAAATAGATAAATAGACTAACTTAAATTTTATTAGATAGATTTTAGAGTTTGATTGACATTTTTTTTTTTATTATAAAAACTCTTTGCATATCAATTAATAAATATTTTTTTTATAAAAATAGATAGTTAAATACTGAAACTCTTTGCACATGTAATAATACTATATATAAAAACTTTTTTTATATCAATTAATAAATATTTTTTTATATAAATAAATAAATACTTAAACACCTTGGCACAACTTCTGTAAATAAATAAATACTTAAACACATTGGCACAACTTCTGTATTTTACTCAAAAAATTAGGTTTTCTTTTATTAAAAAATTCATAATAATAAATAGGTTAATTTGAATTTTACTAGGTAGATTTTAGAGTTTTATAAAACTTTTTTTTCTATAAAACCTCTTTTCATATCAATTAATAAATATTTTTTATATAAATAAATAAATACTGAAACTCTTTCTACATTTAATAAATATTTTTTAAATAAATAAATAAATACTGAAACTTTAGATTTACTTTTATTAAAAAATTTATAATAATAAATAGATAAATAGGTTAATCTGAATTTTATTAGGTAGATTTTAGAGTTTTATAGAGTTTTTTTTTTTCTTTTATTTAGTTTTTTTTTATATAAAAACTCTTTTCATATCAGTTAATAAATATTTTTTTATATAAATAAATAAATACTGAAACTCTACTCTGGAATTCTGGATTTTTAGAATTCTCAATTTCTGTACCCATTCCTCCTTCCTCCATGCCTCTATTTATAGGCTTCTTGGATGAATAGGATGATGACATGTGTCCTTTTCTAATAATGACATAATCATAATTAGATTCCTCCTTCATCCATGCCTCTATTTATAGGCTTCTTGGATGAATAAGATGATGACATGTGTCATTTTCTAATAATGACATAATCATAATTAGGCGGGGCCAGTTATATTGTGATAATTATATATAAAAAATAATTAAAAATAAGAGTTTTATATAAAATGTGATTGATTTTATTAAGTAATTTTTAGAGTTTTATAGAAACTATAATTATTCATAAAAAATAATTAAAAATAAGAGTTTTATATAGAATGTGATTGATTTTATTAGGTAATTTTTAAAGTTTTACAGAAACTATTTTTACAAAAACTATTTTTATATCAATTAATAAATATTTTTTTATATAAATAAATAAATACGAAAATACTGAAACACTAAAACACTTTACACATTTAATAATAGTATAGATATAGATATATATAATGGTCAAAAACGTAAATTATGTGTAATCAAGGTGAAATTTTCATCGCCCCCAAAGCTTGAATGAGTTGATAAGGGTTCGATATTCGCTACCACTTGGCCAGTGTTTGAACGTTACTAGCCTCTATTATTACTCGCGACTTATCCAGTGTATCCTTCAGAAGAGGCTCTGTACCCCTTTATAGCGTAGAGTGGGTCCTAAGGAGCTTTGCCTAGGAAAGTTATTGGTGCTACAAAAAAAAAAAAAAAAAAAATATGTTGAAATTTTCATTGAACCATTACTCAACCCCTAACTGGTATTAAATATTTTTCCACAATTTTCTTTTCTTTTCTTTTCTTTTTTATTTTGTATTTTTATTCTTGAAATCTCTCTCGTTCATCGTCGAGGATCAATGGGGAAGGAAAGCGGAGTCTCAGCCATGGAAATTGACGATCAAAAATCAGCCGCTCCTGATCAGATCAACAACCCCAAATTCTCAATCAATGGTTCAATTATAATCTCTCTCTGTACATATGCACATACATAAAATATATAAATCTTTGTAGCTCAATATATTGATTTACTTAGGGCATTTCAGTGTTGCAGCTCTTGAAATCTTCTCAGATGCAGCATGGACTACGACTTGGGGATTACACTCGCTACCGGTATAAATTCCGTCTCTGTCTTTCTCTCTGTATATATATGTTTGATACATTGCATTTTAGCATTTTTGGGCTTGAAATTTGTATTTTACCTTTAAGTTGTGGTGTTTTATGCAATGTGTAAACCACTGGATTTGATGTTGCTTTATCTGTCTCTCTCTATTACATATTTGTTTGATACATTGCGTTTTACTACTCCCCTCCCATATTAGATGCCCACGTCGGAAACTCTGTCTCACAATTTTTGTGAGTAAAAGTTTCCGAATTGGACATCTAATATGGTACATTCAGAGGTAGTATATAAGTATATAAAAGGAATACGACTAAAAATGACTTCAAATGATTTACAGTGAGTCAAAGTTTTTGATGTGGACAACTAATATGGGAAAGAGGGAGTAGCTTTTTGTGCTTAAAATTTGTAGTGTTATAAATTTAGTTTGTGGACTTTTATGCAATGTGTAAACTACGGATTTGATGTTGCTCTGTCTCTTTCTCTCTATTATTTTGTTACATTGCTTTTTAACATTTATGTGCTTGAAATTTATAGTGGACTTTTATGCAATGTGTAAACTATGGATTTGATGTTGCTCTCTCTCTCTCTCTCTCTCTCTCATACATTTGTTTGATACATTGCATTTTAGCATTTCTGCGCTAAAAAAATTTATATCATAAATTTAGTTTGTGGGCTTTTATGTAATGTGTAAAATATGGATTTGATGTTGTTGGGTGTTGGAATTAAATTTTTGGAGTTACAGGAGGTATTGTACTGCTCGATTGCGGAGGTTGTATAAATCATTGAAGTTTACACATGGGCGTGGTAGATACTCCAAAAGATCCATAACCGCGAATACTATCACCAATGTAAGGTGTGTCTCGGTCATAATAACTTCTCATACGGTTGAATTGGAATGTTATGAAATGGACATGCTTCAGATAGTTGCACTTATAATAAGTTTTGTTGCTATTTTGTAATGGTAGAAATACATAGGGAAATTACTACCAAGTCCTACTTTTCTCACAATAAATCCTAATTTTTTTCTTTAGGACAAATAAGTCTTAGTTTTGAGAATTGTTTCCTTTGAAGTCGTAATTAACTAATAAATCTTCCATTTACACTCTTACTAAATTACATATACTCTTCCTAAATTAGATATAAATTCAAACTTTCATTTATACCCTTACAAAATTCGACATAAAATTTGAATAAAAAGAAAAAAATACATTTTATTGATTTTTTTATAGAATAATTAATTCTTTTGCACTAAAATTGTGTATTCTACACAAATTTTTTTTTATTTTTTATTTTATTTTTATTGAATTTAAGTTAGATTAATTATTATTTAAATTCATAATGAAATATTATAAACTAACTAAAACTTAAAGCAACATATATAAAAAATAGATTATATATTAATTCTTGAATAAATTTATATATATATATTACTTCTATTTAGTAAGGGTACAAATGGAAGATTAAGTGATTTAGGACTTAAATGGAAAAAAAAAATCACAAAAGTAGGACTTACCGGTCCTAAAGAAAATATTTATTTGTCTTTCAATCAGAAAAGTAGGACTTGGTGGTAATTTTACCAAATAAATATTAGAATTGATAAAATAGTTTTTGATTAGTGCCAAATTCGAGGCTTTTGTTAATTGCCACTTGAATTGTTTTTGAATAGTCACATACACATTGCAGTGATAATGAATAAACAGAGCTAAGACCTGTTTGATCACTTTAGGGATAGAGGATGAGGAATGGAAAAATTTAGGCTTGCCCTTGCTCCCTCATGTCCTTACGGCTTACAAGTTCATGAACATATCCAGCATCGCCACTGCATTTCTCCATTGCCATTTTCCTCAGCAAAGCTTTGTTGAACTTTCTCACTCTAATCCTCTTGAGTTCAACAGCTATTTCATAAGGCTTAATGCAGGAAAAAACAAGAATCTATTAAAAGATCGGATAATGTTAATAAAGTCTACAGTTAAATTTCATCTGAAATCATAGACTAGAACCAAGAAGGGACAACTGCACCAGCAAACAGAACAAACTCGCTGCTACAGCTTTTGGCACTGCAGATGAAATTTGTCTGATTGAATTTGGGGCCTTAAAGTGTTATATTGTCCATATGCCATAAGAATATAGATTGCTAGTTATCTACTTAAAATGACTAAATATATTTATTTTAAATTTAAATATATTTATCTTTGGATTCTCTGGGACCTTAGTCCCGGCTCCGCTTTTGTAATTGGGATGCGTTCCCCTTTTGAACGCCTTTTTTATGTTATTTCTTACTTATCAAAAAAAATAAAATTTAAAGGATTTCCAAACACAAGCATGTATATTCTTCGAAGGCTGTCGTGAATTTACAGTGTAATTGAATTTATAATTAGCAGATCTAAAGATATTAGAACTACGATGCTATTCATAATCATTATGTTTAAATAGGTCAACATGTCAAAGTTATCAGTTAACAACTGAAGTTCTTTGGACCATGTAGGTTCCTTCATTTGGTTCTTTATACGGCAGAAAGAGCTTGGAGTCATGCCATGGAGAAAAGACAGCTGCCAGATGGTCCAAATGCTCGTCAACGCATCTACCTGATTGGTAGGCTGAGGAAGGCTGTGAAATGGGCTACGCTTTTTGCAGAGTTGTGCGCCATCAAGGGTGATTCAAGGACATCTTTAGAAGCCGAGGTACGTCTTTTTGGTCAGTTGGTTTCTGCTGTATTTGTTCTGGCTATTGTTTTTTACATTTTTATATTCTTTATTTCTTAAGCCTGTTTTATTTATTATATGATTGTTTTGGCCACAGATTTTGAAATATAGTGAGTTAATCTTGTTTCTTCTTCAAGGTTATACATGTAGGTGTTTTATATAGGCTAAAAAATGTTTAGTTAATATTATGACACCTTCCAGGCATGCGTAGACCCATTTTCCTGAATTTTTGTATCTACTTCAAGAATTTTAAATGTGATGCTTATTGTTAGCTTTCTTATTCACGAGGGGTAGATGGATTCTATTATGAAATGGTATCTAGGCAAACTAATCAAGGAACTTTCTTGAACAAACTCATGGTGCCCACTTCTGCATGCGAACTTAACGTGTAGCCACAAGTTTCTAATGATATTGGACTACTCCAAACATTGTAGCTACTCAATGTGCTCCCTTGCGAGTTATGTTACGTGGTCAACCAAGTATACCGTTCACTACCGGGTTCCTATGTCTGTGTTGGACCTCTCTAAGTTCCAAATCTTAGGATATTCACGAGGGGTAGATGGATTCTATTATGAAATGGTATCTAGGCAAACCAATCAAGGAACTTTATTGAACAACCTCATGGTGCCCACTTCCGCATGCGAACTTAATGTGTAGCCACAAGTTTCTAATGATAGTGGACTACTCCAAACATTGTAGCCACTCAATGTGCTCCCTTGCGAGTTATGTTATGTGGTCGACCAAGTATACTGTTCACTACCGGGTTCCTATGTCTGTGTTGGACCTCTCTAAGTCCCAAATCTTAGGATATAGGAAATTTGGCTAAAATTTGTTCAAAAGTTGGGTAGGTAGATATGCCTGCATGTTTGAAAAAAATATTATGTTATATAATAGTATAAAGTATGATTTTGTTGCTCTTTGAGGATTTAAGCAAATAGTTTTTAATTCAATGGGATGTGGTGAAAATAAAAGAGAAAGAGCTTTTCATCTATTTCAGGGTAGGAAACTCTTTTTTTTGCTATCAAACTTAAGTTTGTTTCATCTTCGTCTTCACATGTAGAGAATTAGGGTGTTTGATACGGATTCATGTTTTGGACAATCCCATACTCGTTCCCATTAACACATTCTTGTTTTCGGATCTCAACCACTTGTGGAGATTTTAACTCCTAGGATTTTTTTCACCAGTAATCTAACTAATGAACTGAACATGGACTCTCTGTCTGTCTCTCTCCTGAGATTACTTTGGCAATTTTATTAGCTCTGATTGTTATACTGTTAGCTTGATTGTCTCTTGCAAGAAGGTCAATATAACTACAGACACAATTGCTTGTGTACTATTTGTGCAGTTACATGGTGTTACTGGAGAAGTTAGTTTGACATAGTTCTTGAAGATGAGAGAGGGTGGCAGAAGAATTCTTATGGTTGGTTCTCTTAATACATAGTGTTATTTTGGTAAAAGTATGTCTAATGTGGGTAGGGGTGGCAAAATTTTTAATGACCCACGAACATGACTCAAACATGACATGAAGTTGGCGAGTTTGGGTTGACCTTCATTGTGTTCGTGTTATAATTGTGTCAACCCGTTTAATTAATCATGCCGTGTCTATGTTTTGAAGCTAAACCCGTTTTACCCTATTAGACCCGTTTAATTAATCATGTCCGGTCAACCCGATTAACCCATAACATATTTTAACCCAATTACTATGAACATTTCTATTATTTCAATATAAATCCAATATGGATATTGTAGGTGTTTTTTCTCCCCTTGTAATTGTGTTGTTCCAATTATTTTCATTTTAATGAATTTAGTTATTCATTATCTCAAATATTTCATTATATTTGCATTTTGTACTTAAGTTAATAAATGGGTTACATGACCCTTTTAAGTTAAATGGGTTACACATGTCATTAAACGAGTCGTGTCATTACATGACCCGTTTATTAAATGGGTTACCCGGGTCAAGTCGTGTTACCTGTTTAATAAACAGGTCGTGTTTGGGTTGACCTCATAGGTTGACACGACACGTTTATGACCCTTCAACACGAATTGTCACCCCTAGGATTCTCTAGAAATGCACCACTAAAGAGAGGTGCATTAATTAAAGTAGAAGGTAAGAGGCAAAGAGACAGACCCAACTAACATGGAATACAGTAGTTAAAATGCCTTTAAGAAATTAAATATAAGAGGATTTGTGGCTTATAATAGAGAAGAATGAAAGAAAAGAATTCATATGGCGGATCTCATTTGGATAGGAGCTAGGCAAGGTGATCATGATGAAGTCTACAAAGGAGATAATGGTGGAGTTTCTTTTTCATGGATTTCCAAGAGTGAATTGATATACACAAAGGGACAAGACTCGAGGAGTGTGATTCAAGAACGTGTCAATAGTCAAGAGGATAATTTTATAGTTTGTCTTGGGCTCACCATGCTGTACTGTGCATGGTATTGAGTGGTGAAAAGGATTTGCTTATAACTACAGAATTAATGGAAAGGATGTTAGGATAAATGAGGCTAGACAAGGACAGGATCAAGAATTAACAAACATACTGGAGGTTAAAGTTTTCACTCTCTAAGACAAGATGAAAACAAGGTGAGATACTATGTGCGACATGGATTATTTCTTGTTTTCTTTCTTAAATCATCTTGTGGTTTAAGCTATACGTCATTGTGACATCACTGCTAGTCCTCCATGGGCGACATTTACATAACCATTCCTCTTTAACTTCTTGCTGACAACCCTAATGTTTTGGCAATCAGTTTATTTGGTGTGACTTTTATGTATATTTGGGGCTAGTGCCATAAGTTGAGCATAGATTGTTCTAAGAATTAATTTCTCTTACCTCATGAAAACCATTGTTAAGTACCTAGGGTGGAAAAAAACCTATTGTTAAGCAGTTTCTCCACAGTTTACTCGAGTTTAGGTATCTGGTGGCCTGTCTGTAGTTTGAATTGAAGTATTACAGTTCTTTTGAGAAATATGAAAATGTGTTAAATGCTTAGATGTGGTACATGAAGCAGTTCTTTGAAAACTGATAAGTTACATAACATGTCAAAATTTTTTAGGGCAGCTTACACTAGTGGGATGTGAAAGAATTCTTCCATTTCAATTGAGGGATCTTGACATGTTGATCAACTTTGGGGGAGGTTCAAAATACTGGCATTTTAAACTAGGGACTATGCATATATTTTATCAACCTTTTATATCAGTATACAATTAAGTAATGTTTTCATTGATCATCTATTTCCATGCATTGTTATGGTTCTGAGTGTTGTTTAGAGCTTTGTATTGACTTATCACCTTTTGAATGTTACTAGCTTGACATGTTGATCACCTTTAGGGAGCTTGACATGTGAGACAACATACATTTTAAAGCTAGGGACTGTGTACGTGTTTTATTTCTTTACCTATTTCCTTTAAATTTGATGTTATGATCTCAATGCTCTAAGAAGTGTGACTTTAATTATCACCTCTGAATTCTTATCTTTTACTTAATGAAGTGTGATATCTTCCATTTTTTACTGAGCTAGGTTTGAAATCCAATTTGCAGGCCTATGCTGCTTACATGAAAGGGAATTTATTGTTTGAACAAGATCAAAGTTGGGACATTGCCTTGAAGAGTTTTAAGAGTGCCAGGTATATTGTAATATGGTTAGTTTCTCAAAGATGTTCATTGCTGCATAATGCTAAAAAGGGAAGATGGTGCTATTGTGTCTTCTTGATGTGTAAAACTCCAAAAGTGTAATAAACAAACAAACAAACAGACCGAAAAAAAAAAAAAAAAAGAAAAAGAAAAGAGAAACAATGTATTTGGCAATAGAAATTGTATAAACATTTGCTGAGCTGAAGTTACCTGCAAATCCTTGTGCATGTTTGGTATGTTGGCTTGTCCCAACACTTCTACATTCCCATTTGTCCATCTAGGATGTTGCTGCCATTAGGCGATTTTCTCTTCCTCTCCTTTTAGATAATATATCTTTTATTACTCCTTTCTTTTTTAATAAATTGGCCAACTTTATTTATCTGATAGGGCTGTTTATGAGGAACTTGGGAAATATGGAGACCTAGAGACCCAAGTTTTGTGCCGTGAGCGTGTTGAGGAATTAGAACCAAGTGTACGCTACTGCTTACACAAAATTGGCGAGTCAAATTTGCAAACTTCTGAGTTTTTACACATTGGTGAAATGGAAGGACCTGCACTGGACCTTTTCAAAGCTAAACTTGAGGTGAAGTAATTATTTCAGAGTTTAATCCTTGAAGCATATAAAAGATTGATTTTTTCCTTAATACGATTACTTCAATTATCCAAAATATGTTGCTTCTCACTTGAAACATTTAGATTGTCCCAAATGTGTTACCTCCCATTAGTCCTTATTCTCCACTGTCTTGATTTGCAGGCTGTTATGGCTGAAGCAAGATCTCAGCAGGCCGCATCTATGACTGAATTTTGTTGGCTTGGTCATAGATTTCCCGTTTCCAATGCTAAGACACGGGTTTTCATATTGAAAGGTGTGTCATTAATCTCTTCTTACACTAAAACAGAATGGCACCGTTCTTTCAGAGTCAACAGATTGGCCAAGTATGTGCTTATGTTGCTCTTAATTTTATTTTGTCCTGTGTGACTCGTGATGTAATCGTTTTCTGATTGGCTGTTGAAATGTAAATGTAACATTCCCTTCTTTCCTGAACAAATCGAGGTGGCAACTCTAATTGAGCAATTTGTAGCTTGAACATACTTTTTGGTTGGTAAGTCATACATGCACCCATTTTTCTCAATTGGGTCTCGAACCTTCAACCTTCTATTTGGAAGGAGGAGGAGATACTACCTCTGCTAAGTCCTTGGTGGTAAGTTTGAACATGATTTCGATGTCACTTTATTCCGCAAAGACGTATAGGTTGGCTGTGGATGCAATGAACTCAGAAATGCCTTTTTGTTCCTCTTAACATTACTGTATATTCTCATAAACTGTACAGTAATGTTAGCAGCAACCCATTTACATGAATTTATCTCACTAGCAGTTTGTGGCACCTCTAGTTGAGTGATTTCAACATACTTTTGATGCTTGTGCTCCATTAAGATTTTAAGACTTATAGTTTAGTTGTGGGTACAATTACTCAAGCAGAACTTCTAAAAATATCAGAAGTCCTGTTTGTTGCCTTCCTAAAACATACGGTAAAAAGTTGGTATCCAGACTGTCAATCAACGCTTTAGTTAATGCACCACAATCACAAGCTTGCAGGTTATCTGAATGACTATGGTGGTAAATTTCCGGGGTTCAATTGCAATGAGATTATTTTGGCAGTTTTGTATTAGGGGAATTTTTCTCTATTTACATAAACTTATGTAATTTGTAACCAAGAAACTGGGAGATACTAACACAGTGCTGATGTTGGACATGGAAATCCGATCCTCAGTTACATACTTAGATACTGCACAACAATAGTGTGCTAACATATTTTGACATGGTTATTTTTCTAGAAATATTTTCACTGCAAGATTAACATAAGAAGTATTTAAGTTTAGACTGTAGAGTTTTGAGTGTATATGGAATTTAATGTATTTGGATAACACTGATACAATTGAGAGATCTTATGAAACTTTTCCTCTCTAACTCCATTCTCAAGAAGAAAAACGAAATTCAGTGAGTGTTTTTTATCCCAATTTCTTACCAGGCCCTTGCATCTTGGGGCGTCGTTTGGTAGGAAGGAAGGAAGAGGGGTGGAGGGAAGATAGGAAGGAAGAAACAAACTTCCTTCGTTTGGTAGAGAGGAGGCAAGGAGAGAAGAGAAAAGATGATGGATGAGTCATCCTTCCTCCTGCACAAATTTTCACCCCTCCAAATATGGACAGAAGACGCGAAGTAAAAAAGGCAAGGCTATTATAAAAAAATTTAATTACAAAACTTTCCTTATAATTAACACTCTCTCTTCTCTTCTTTCCTAACAAACAAAATAAGGTATTATCTCATTCTCTTCTGTCCAACCAAACAAAAAGAGGAAAGGACACAATCTCTTCCCTAGGGATGTCTCATTCATCTCTTCTTCTCTCCCTTCCATCCAATTTTCTTCCTTCCTACCAAACGGAGAATAAGGCTTGGTGGCATTATAATTAAGAAAGGAGTTTATAAAATGTTCTAAATGCAGGTCAATTTTGAATTGCAAAATGGAACTTCCTTTAATTATTTGAGGTCAGATAAGAGTTCTAATTCTTTTTTTCCTGAATGCTGATGATTTGAATTAGTCCTTGTAGTAAATTTCCATGGTGTGTTATACTTCATATCTGTTATGCAATGTTGTTTTATAATTTTTTCTGCACCAAACCCCTCATGCAATTTTATGCTAAGAATTAGTTTCTAGCTGCACCATGTACTTCATAAAGGTTATATTGCACTTTTCTTATCTCCCATGGAAGGAAATCGGTTCAGATTTTTACCTGGAATTGGAATCCAGTCATTGAGACATTACAGAAAAATAAATAGGATAGTTTTAGATATTTCTTGAGGAAAGGTTGAGCTTGAAGCTCTGTGTACTTTATTGTCTTCCTTAATTTGGTGCATTTTGCAATATGCTGTTGAAATGTATCTGAATTTTGTTGTGCGCTTTATTATCTAATTGCTCTTTTCTGAGTATAGTGTACTACTTTGTCAGTATAGATGAACTCAAGCTTTGTTTATTACTTGGCAATTTTGATCAGCTCAGGAATTGGAGAAAGATATACATGGTCCAATGGCAGAATCCATTCCAGCAGAAAAAAGACTTGTCATTTTCGACAAAATTTTTGCTTCATATCGTGAAGCCAGGAGCTGCATCCGCAATGACTTGGTACGGAAATTTAATGATTTAATGCCACAGCATGCTCGTCTGTTGTGAAGGAGTGAAGGTCTTTGTCATATAAATGTATTGTTTAATAAATTAAAGCACGGGTTATTTTTGTGCTTACCTTTTTTAATGTTGATTCTGACTTATTTTATTTTTTAAAACATTATAGGTCACTGCAGGTAATTCTGAAAACATGAAAGATGATCTAAGTGGCCTTGACAAAGCTATTAGTGCCGTATTAGGACAGGGGACCATTGAGCGGAACCAGTTGTTGGTAAGCATAGCCAAAAGTAAACTTACTAAATCCCGCGAAGACAAAAATGAGAAAGTTACCAAGCCTGAAGAGCTTGTCCGGTTGTATGATCTTTTATTACAGGTGAGCATTTAAAATCTTTATGTTCTTTGTATTTTGATATTCCTACTACAGCTAGAGGTGCTTGAAACCTTAGTAGTGATGTATATGGGATCTGCAAAATCAGATATTATGGGAAATACTGGAGTAGTTGTTCTTACTTTTGCAGAATACAGCTGATCTTTCCGATTTAGTTAGTTCTGGAAGAGATAGAAAACCAGAAGAAGTGGCATTTGCTAAAGAATGTGAGCTCAGAAGCTTGGTTTTCCGAGCAGAAAGGTTTGCTTCTTATGAACTCTTTACGGTATATTCGTTCAACTCACTTACCAAAGGTTTGAAATGTCACTTCACCCAAATCTATCTTTATAGACTGCATTCCCTCCCCCACTTTTTCAATATATATATATATATATATATATATATAAAATGTGGCTTGACCAAGTTTGTAAAACTCTGCCGACTGGTCCAAGCCTACTCAGACTCAGCCAGAGTTGAGACCCTGTCTAACCAAGATATTGGTGCTGGTAAAAATTGCACCTGGCTTGGGCTCGATCTAGCCAAGCTGAGGTCATTAGGCCATGGCACGAGCATGACGTGCTAGACTCAGCTAAGTTGAGCTGTCTCAGGCGAATTAGCTTGGGACGGTGTTGTTTCGAACTAGATTTCTAGATGGGTATTTAAACCTACTTTTTCTCTCCTCAAATTTCTTCCACATTCCAACACCAACCTTCAGATCTTGTGAACCAACCATGCAGTAACCCTCAAATCTCCAGATATGCTAATTCAAACAAAAGAATTCAAGATTTCTCCAAAGATTGACAATAGGCTTCCCACACTTCATATTAATTGGCAAGATTTTGAATTTCTTTTTTTTTTTTTTGGTTCCAGATCCAGCCTAGATCTAAAGATTTGAGACACTACCCCAGATCTCTCGATCTACCCAGGTTCTGATTTTTTTTAATTTTCTTTATGAAAAAGGTAAATGATTATTACTCGCCTGAGTGAGGTGTGATTAGGGGTGCATAAAAAAGCGGTTGAACTGGTGAACTGGACTGGTCCGGTCGGTTTCTTCCCACCTTTTATTTATTTTTATTTTTTTATTGTTTGGTCTGGTTTTAGTTTAAAAACAAGGAACCGTTAGTTAATGGCTCGATTCTCGGTTTGGGGTCCTATAGGACGGAACCGTTGATTAAACATAATATTTATAATAAATTTCCTAAATCCTAACCCACTAATATATTATACTTGCTTTGTCCCAATAAGAATGTCCATCTTTCCTTTTTGGATTGTCCCAAAATAATTGTTCATTTTCTTTTTTCAAACAATATATTTTACATCTTTCCATATATGCCCTTGTAGTTTAAAATTTCAAACTTGAATATTCAAAACTTAAAATGGCAAGTTAGTAATTTTCCAGGGGGGACAATACATGGCCCACATGTCCCCTTAAAAATTTCTGCTCCCCAAAAAAGACATTCTTTTTGGGACAGAGGGAGTATATATATAATAAATAAATAATACTGTATATATTTTACCTGACCTAGTGACATACATATTTTGAATTAGTTTGAAAACAAAGTAGAATCTAAATGTAAGAAATTCAAATTGTCAAAAAGGCCAGTTTCGTGCTTCCGCACTTGCCCCTCTCGGTTTGGTTCCTACAGTCCATTTTGGTTCTAATTTTCATGGAACCAGTGGGATCGGTTTGATTCTAGTTTTTGCCAAAACCGGTCCAAACCGGACCATGTGCACCCCTAGGTGCAATTATTACCTGCATTGACATCTCGTGCATGACTTGGTTGTCTTGGGCGATTCAGCCCGTGGTCGTCATGTTATGCTTGTGGCGTGGTAGGCTCGTGTGAGTTTACCTGAAATAACGTAGTTTCCTGCATGAATTTTTTGAAAAACTAAAATCATGCACAAATGAACTTGACATGGATCAACTTGGCTGAGTCGAGCCCAATTTAGGTGCAAATTTTACTAGCACCGTGATCTCAGCTTCACTATGGCCAAGTCCAAGCCGACTCGACTCAGCCGAGTTTTGAAACCTTGTTGTTGCCCAGATAATGACTCTGGAGGGGGGGTGAATAGAGTCTTATGCAAATAATACCAAATAATCGGATTAATCAATATATGGCATTTAACAGTGTTGATATACTAAAGCATACAAATAAGATTAATGTTGAACTTAAGCACAATTAAAAGATTGAGAAAGATAGAGAATTGCAAACATTTGACGCGATAATTTTAGCTCCTACTCCTCGGCTTAAGATCCCTCTTGAGACTTCCCCAAAACCACTAAGGCACCTCCTTACGGGTGGAGAGCAAACCGGTACAAGAAGCACTCCACTTCTCTTCTTCTTGCTAAGAGAACAAACCTCTCTTAGTCTTCTGCTGGGTTTATTCAACCCGTACAAATGAAGGAATTAAGCCTAAGCTTATTACAATCTCTCAAGATGGGATATGAAAAGAAAAGCTCACAATCCTATAGCAAAAGAATAATACAGCAAGAGATTCTATGCTCAGTAGGATAGATCAATGATCAAGAAAATACGAAGGTTGAATGATTCTGAAATCTCATAAGGAAGATTGTTACTGTAGCACTTGTTGTTCATCATGTCAGAATCATGCACAGATATAGAGCCCTGTCAAGATCTGGACAGAAAAGGTAGATAAACTTTCCAAACCGCTGTATGGGGATCTGATGTAATCGGTTACATCATCCAAGTACTCAGTTAGATTAGATCCGCGGCTTTATCTGATCGATTACATTTTCCATCTGATCGATTACTTGAGCCATCTGGTCAGTTAGATCAGGAATGTAATTGGTTAGATCAGATCTAAAACTTTTACCTTTTTCTCTGTGGAATCCATCTGATCGAGTAGATGATTTTATCTAGTTGGTTACATGAGTTCATCTGATTGGTTAGATCAGTGAACTAACTGGTTACAAGAAGGAGAGTAGATTTTTGACATCTTTCTGTTTTCTCCATCTGATCGATTACATGTTCTCATCTGATCAATTACATGTCGCCATCTGATCGGTTACATGGCTAATCTAATCAGTTAGATTGCTAATTACAAATACATGCTCACTGTGTTCCTCATCTGATTATATGTAAGATGTGATCGATTACATGCCTTTAGCAAAGAATGTAAACTCACTGTGATCCTCATCTGATCGGTTACATGGATTACCGGTTAGATCATTTGAATTTTGAATACTGATGAGCTGAGATGTATGTATTTGTGAAAAGGGATCTTGAACTTTTAGATCACTTGCTGTAGATCAATTGCTTTACATATTATCTAGCTCTCACCATCCTAAGCTACCCCTTTCAATGATGTTCATGAAGTATTATTTGAGTTTTTGTTTGCCATGTGTCAGAAGCTTTCCTGTTACTGTAATACTCAAGAGAGAAAGTCAAATACATTGATTCTTTGTTTGTTATTATCAAAAGTGTGAAGGAAGGCCTTTGTGCCAACACTTGTATATAAGTAAAACTACTTACCAAAAAATAATTAAACAAGTAAAACTAAGCTTGCAAATGAGTTCATTGCTTGGTGAATGGTAAATAAAATTAATCACATATTAATTTTAAATTTTACGGTTTTGCTATTTTTTTTTGCTTTTTATTGGCCTCGGTTTTCTTACACCATATATAAGACTTTTAATCATGTATTGTTCTCTTCTCCTTCTTTGGGGTATTTTCCTAGCAACCATGTTGGTTCTGATCTGCAATTGACAAAGTGGATTCTGGTTTATTACTGTTCTATTCCGAAATGAGTTTAGATCAACTGTTTAGGTGAAAGCTGTAGCCTGTTCCTAGTTGAAGTCGAGTGTCAAAAAAATTTCTCAGTTCATGAACTTCACTTTAATTGATAAGTTTCCCAATTTGTTGTCAGGTGCTTTTACTTGGCTAAATCCTATAGTTCAGCTGGAAAGAGGACAGAAGCATATGCGTTATTCTGCCATGCTCGCTCTCTTGCTGATGCTGCCCTTAAAAAGCTCCAAAGTTCTATTGCCCCTGATCAGGTTTGTATACTCATGTTGCCCTTTTCTATTGGTCACTGTTTCGTTTTGACGTCGACCTAAAATTTTGCTCTCTCTCTCTCTCTCTCTCTCTCTCTCTATATATATATATATATATATATCATACAGTATAACTCATGCAACTGTGTACATTGATGAAATTGACAATCTATCTTAACGTCAGCAAAGACTTTCCTGTTTGCTCACTTTCTCACTTAGGAAATGACAATTTAGTAAAACAAAATTTTTGGATCTATTAATTTGACTATTTGCTATTCTCTTCTGAAGGTTTTACCTGTAACTGATTCTCATATATTTTGCTTTAAGATTGTTAACCCTAATATATGTAATAATGAGCATTACTGAGTTCCCGACTGTTGCCGACTGTCCTTTTTTCCCCATAACAGGTACTGATCAAGGAATTGAATATACTATATGATGACTGTAGATCCAACAGTTGTTTAGAGCATGCTACAGGAATTATGGAGGAGGAGAAGGCTCCAGAGAATCTTTCCAAGAAAATCTCTACTATATCACTAACTGGAGCTAATAAGAAGGTACCACGTAGACTTTGGAGTGTTTCACATTTTTTTTTTTAACAGTAAAGAATTACCATATACTAGATTTGTGACCACCTTTCCTGAAAAAATAAGGCAGCATAATAACAAAATCTTGCTTAAATTATATAAAATGAAAATCTTGTCCCAATTTGACAGCTGTAATTATAACAAATAGCAAAAAGCATAAATTTGAAATATCATATCCTTTCAGAACAGTAATCCTGAAGTAGTTGATGTTAATATTATGAAGGCTACAGCAAAATAATTATATCTATCTTTTTCTGATGATGGTGGAATTCGAACTCTGGGACGGTTTTCCACTGTCTCTTCCAGAATAGAAAATAAATGCTATACAAAATATTTTTTCTGCAAGTCATTGTAGGAAAAAGGGGAAAAAAGAAGCATGAAACTAAAACCTGCTAACTTTGATAAATATGACACCCAACAAAATTCGCTCCAAGATGTTGTGTTATGTCCAGGATTATGTGTAATGGAAGGAGTCTGGGAAATCCAAACAACTGGTTAGCTGAACACAGTGCGAGCACTTAAGATATTCGTTTTCCCCTAGTTTAGTTCTTCCTCTCAATAAATAACGGATTAAGTTTCCACACCAGAAATGGTAACTCTATCTTATGTTGAATGCTTTTGGACTGAAAATTGTGGTTCAGTTTAACCCAGGCAGGCCACTTTCTGAGAAACACAACCACCCCGAAAATAGAAGTGATAAATGAATGAATTCAGCATACGATTGATAGTTTCTTGGTTCAGTTTTGGTAGTGAAAGAGCTGTGATTTATATGGTTTTATGGGGACAAAGTATGGTATTGAAACATTTTCTTCCAGTTCTGGATGCTATCATAGTTTTTCGTATACAATTGATTCCCACAACAGAATATGGACTTCAGAGACGATACACTTTTTTTGTTTTTAGGTACTCAACACGACTAATATCCAATATAAATTACTTTTTGCCGTTCAATTCTCTACACTGGGTAATGCATTTCTCTAGGAGTCTATCTAAATTAATGAATTGAAGATCTTGGAATTGGAAATACAGAACTTTATTACTGAAACATTTTTCAATTTACCATCAGAAGGTAAGCATCTTCTCATCATGTTTTTGAGGATACTTACCATCAGAAGGTAAGCGTCTTCTCATCATGTTTTTGAGGATACTTACTCTTTTAGGGTTCTCAGCATTCATTAATCATAACTACACAATTGTGTCAATTTCAAGTATAATATTTTTTGTCCCCATGTTTGTATGTTCTAATAATGGCGTTGCACGTTGATATTTTTTCAGATGATTCAGCTGGAGGAACTTCTCACTGAGAAACTAGATACCTATGAATCTGCAGTTGGTGATATTAACAGAAAAGGAGTTCCCTGTATTGCAGCCGTCCCACCAGCCTTCCAAGCAATTGCTCGCAATCCAATTGTACTGGACCTTGCCTATAATGAAATTGAATTCCCATCACTGGAGAATAGGATGAAGAAAGATAAGCAGGGCTTCATAAGTCGGCTTTGGCGATAAGTCACTATTGAGTTGTTATTTGATTATGGTTTTTTGCTTCCATAGCATTTGAGCAATTTTGTTAGCAATAATTTATCATCATACATACTATGATTACATGATATCTAGCCATTAAATTTTGGGATGCATACTTGGGATAAAACTCGAGTTGAAAGTGAATAAATGCTTCTATTTCCATTGCTATGAAATAAGTGGGAACGAAGCACAATTTTGAATTTTACCACTCTACAATTTGAATGGCTGTTGTAAGATTCAATGTTTTCCTTTCTCTCTCTCTGACCAATGTAGAGAGTATACTGTCTTCCTCGTTGGCTTTGCACAGGGGACAACTTTTATATGCATAGGATATATGAAAAGCCTTCAAGCCCTGTTTGGATTGCAGGAATGCTACTAGTCACTGATTCAATCATACCAGAATTGATCTTTCCGCAATAATTGATGCAGTGGACCAGTGTTAAGTTTGCCTGGTCACTCTTACTACAATCATGAAGGATCCATCCCTACTGCGTTTAGATGTCAAGGATGGAACTCTAAATGAGTTTGAATCATAAGAGTTCGAATCAGATTCACGTTCGAAAAGGTTTCCAAATCACTATTCAAGCAGGATAAGCCTTCAGGTTTTCATATGCGATGTACTAGTCATAAAACTAAAGAATTTGGCTTTTGTATGCACTTTGAAAGAGTTGCAACTTTTTGTGTTCCCTTCGAGAATTTGTGAGGATGACATTTGGAAGTCATGTTCTTTCACTTGAGTGCATTTAAAATATAAGTAGCTGCAGAAAAGACTTTCTTGTATAGGTTGTTGGCGGTTACAGTCACTTTGAGAAGTCTCTTTTTCAGGGGAAGAAACAAACGGATATTTCACTGAATTGTTGCTAGGGGATGGGAAGTGAAGTGGGATTGCGATCCATTACACATTATACTCTATGTGATGGGACACACACCCGAGTTCACCACGGATACATGAATATATCCTGGAAGATTGCTAGGGATTGTCACATGAACTGTAACTAAAACAAGAATAATTGTAGCTTAATAGAGAGGCTGTAATAAGATACAAATTACAAAATTAAGAGAGATACTAAGCTTAGCTGCAAAGATTGGACAAAAACATGAAGCTCAATAATCCCTCTCATGGCAGTAAAGGTCAGCCTCCCATATCAGATTCAGGAGACTTTCCTCCTGAATCCAAAAGAAATAGGCTTCTCATTTTAGTCAGTCCTTTTACATAGCCATTGCAACTGTTGCTTCAGCTTCCGTATCTCCTATCGCTGCCTGCAACTTTGCTTCACAATCATCGCATCCTCATTTATGCAACCTCATTTATGCAACCGGTCCTTGTAAAGTTGTAAATGGCACCGGCGAACTGCCCTCAGAATTCACCCAAACCTAATTCACAAGCTCTTTCCTTCTGTTATCCTCTTTTATTTATATTTGCCTATTTCAGATCACACAGCAGAAAAAAACAATCAATAGTAAACCCAAATCTTTTAGAAGAAGAGGCCAAGTCAAACATTTAGGGAAAAAAAAAGATAAAAAAGAAAACAGATGATGAATCATTTGAGTCCATTTCCACCTTAATCTTTGGACTATATTCCCCAATTATGGCTACCCTTTGATGTTTTATAAACCCAGCAAACAACACAAGATTAAGGTGAATGAAAGAGAATTGGCATTGTGCAATTCATTGATACATCTCTGAAATTAAATGACATGCTTATGACAATAAATGATCAATATTTAATAAACTTGAAGAATTTTTAGCATTTTCAATAGGGTCTTCAATTTAAATTCTATTTTATTGTTTCTTCAATCTTTCTTCCTTCTCTTATTTAGTCTATTACATTATTCAATATTTCTTCCGATCCATCAATCTTTACTTGTGAAAAAAAAAAGAAGTGTAAAAACAGGGTGTATCAGGGTGTCATCCGCACTGAGTTCTCGATTATGAAACAAGTGTGCTTGTTCGTGTTAGGGGTGGGGCACAACTATCATCAACACTGGTAAATTTCTTGGTAGTCGCAAACAGATGACTCCTTCCGAACTACCACACTAATGGTTCAAACCTAAACATAATGCCTTTCACATCTTCTCTTTGCTCTGTTCATCAAAATGAAAATCAACTAGGGTCACAGAACAAGTTCCAATCCACTCTGCCAATTCATTATCACCTTGGGTTGATTGCTGGCTACAGAATTCTCTCACTACTTCTCCTTGCTTTGGTGTTTCAACAACTGAAAATCCAATATTCTTGTCTGAGAAACAGAATTGGATTAGACATCCCAGCCAAGGTAGGAGTAAACTACGATGCCAACCATCAAAGTCCATACAGGTCATGAAATCTATAAAAGCCAAATTTGTGAAGATCTATGGTGCCAACCCAAAAATAATAAAAGGCCTCAACGGTATTGTTAGGTAAATGAGTCGTGTATTGGCATATTTCTACTCGAAACTTGTGTTGTAACGTGTCAAAATGTCTCGAGTCATTAGATGACATATATTCAAGACATGACAGACACAAGTGCGAAGAACACTGCTAGAAATCTGAATTCTCAATCATGTAACTATGGCAAAGGAGAACAGTGTGCATCAGACAAATGTCCATCGATCGAATTCCGGTGACTCTCAATCGTTTGAACCCTGCAGACACACTTTTATGGAAACTCTCTCAAATTAGTATTCTAAGAAGATTTTACTTACCATACTACACAGGTCTCTTATATTGGTAATAAGCCTATAAATACAAGGTTATAGTTGGTCTAGCATATCTCTCACATGACCTTTCATTACATATTATTGAGAAAAGTTATAATTTCTGAGAGCGCTTTGAGAATCAATCTAGGGTTCCTCAAAGATTATCATACTATATGTGATTGAGAGAATCAAAGCAAGGAGCTGAAGTAAAACTATCAGGTAGAGCATCAACCAAGTGGTTTGTTAAGAACAAGTTGACACAATGTCACTAGTCATATGAAGATCATAAGTCCATGGAGAAGCTGATTGCATGAGGAGCGAGTCAGTCGGTGGACCAGTAGCTAGAGGGTCTAGGGAGATCTCGCATAAGTTTGAATCGGGAAGGACTAAAAAGACACTGTTTGATATCAGTATTACCGGAATTTCATTAAATTTTACTTTCATAATTAAGAAAGGGAAAGACAAATAAAATTTTTTACATCCCAATCAATGGAACCTGGAGCCATGACCTAACATATTTTCATTATCATTTATGATGACTGTTTCTTCTTGGATGAACCCATTCTAGATAAGGAATATTTATGTGTCAAACAAAGTGACACAAATCAATTTTTATGGAACAATAAAAAGCACCAATAAAATTTATAAAATTAAGAGGTCAATTGCACCAAAACTATTGATTAGGTAATCATCAAAGATAACAAAAAATTACAGAATTCTCGATGAAAATACTTTAATTTAATAAGCCTTTTCTAATATTGGGTTAACAATTGAATGACTTAGTAAAAACAAAATAGACCTACTATATCGCCAATTCACACTGACTGAATGTAATAGACTACCATGCTCAATTGGATCTAAGATAATGGAAAAGTTGACTACAAGGAATATGACATCTTACGCAAGTATCTATGACCTCATACATAGTTTAATAACACCGATCGTTTCTCTTCTTTCAAGGAAGTAGGAGTTTCATTTCCTAGGACATTTACCTTCATGGGCAGACATAAGGTCACAAAATATTATTAATTTTATCACAGGACCATAACCAAAGGAAGTAACAAGAATAGGTTGACTAAAATGCATGAGTTAAGGACACATATGAAGATGTATTATCTCCACGTAAATAAAGGTAATAAAGCTCAAGATAAACAGAACATGTAATGAAGCCAATACCGTTTACCTTTCCAAGCTCACATGCGCCACCATAAGGCTGGAAGAGTTGAACCGTTTTTAGGTGCAGCAAGCAGCAAACCAATCAGACCAATCTGTTAAATGAATCCGCATCAGTTCTAACCATTGCTTGATTCATGAAGCAAACAATTATACACGTGCATGTGAAACCAGAATCAGCATATCTTGCTCAGTGTACATTTTGAGGCAAGTTGCATCCCTAAAAATCAGGCAACTAAACAAAAATTGTGTAGAGCAATGATAGTAAAAGATTAAACAACCTTTCATGTATCTCTTAAAGTATGAGAAATATATGCTCATAAAAAATGCTCTAGGAAACAAGAACGGAAAACCCCAATTACTATGTTAAACATATTTGGCATGATTTTTATTTTTATATTTATTCTTTTTCCGCAATGGACATCCAGATCATAAGAAACACCCCTCACATCAATGGGGGTTTTCTGATGTAATCAAGATGCAAAATAATCAGTTCAGGTGACCTTTCTTGCATACAATATGCCATTTGGTTGAAAGTATTCACCAACTTTAATTTGGAAAAACAATCTGCACATTATGAGGATCTAACCTGTGAGTGTTTCCATTTGGTAATTTCATTTAGGTTTACTCCACTTTAGCAGCTTGGTCAGGCCAGCATCAACATTTAGTTCCATGAATCTACAGAGGAAAAAGTATGAAGGAGCAGCAATTCGCACTGTCACGTTTAGCAACTAACCATCTGTTTGATGGTGATTGATTGTCACTTAAGCAACTTCTAATGCTTCTTGCTTTGAGAGAGTGCTACAATTCTCAGAATTTGAGCCATTTGATGTTGATTGATTAACTCACTTAAACTTGTGGTGTTTGGAATCCACCCAATTCTCACCATACTTTCCAGAACACTTGCCGCTTTGTCTGAGTTTCCTGCTTCACATAACCCACAGACTAGAGTGCTACATTTACTGAGACTTAGCATACGTCCACGTTTTCCCATTTCATCAAGCAACACCAATAATTTAGAACAATTTTCCTTTTTACACCAGACATCTACAAATTCTTCATAGACATTTCTGCTTGACATTGCACCTTTGTCCAATTGTTCATCCCAAAGCTTCAAAGCTTTCTCTAAATTCCCATCTTCATAATGGGCATCAACCATCATGCTGTAGACTACTTGATCAGGCTCAATACCCCTTGACACCAACTCTTCAAAAAGTGAAATCATCTTGGATCTATCCTGTATTCTGTTGTAACCATGTAAAAGCGAAGTGTAAGTTACAATGGTCGGCATCAGATTATTTTTTCGCATCTCCAGAAAAAGCTGTTCTGCTGATTCCATCATCCCCACCTTGCAGTGATAATCAATTAATATTGTAAAGGTTACGTGATTGGGCATGATTTGCTTATTGACCATGTCTTTCACCAATTGGATTGCTTCAATCATTTTGCCGGACTTGCAGAATCCATCAATCAAAGTGTTGAAAGTATGTGTAGATGCAAAGCCCTTCTGCACCATTTCATGAAATAAGGCTAAAGCCTTTTCTGTATTTCCTTCTTTGCAGCAGCCATTGACAAGGGAGTTGTAGACAAAAGAATCAGGTGGCACACCCCTTGATGGCATTTCATCCAATAACTGAAATGCCTCGGCTAGATTACTAGATTTGCAGTATCCATCTATGATTGTAGCATAAGTAACACCATTGAGTGCCAAACCTTTTCCAGATATATCATCAAACAGTTCCCTAGCTCTCTTAATGTCACCTGACTTGCATAGTCCATTGATCAGCGCATTGTAGGTAACAATATTTGGATTAATTCCTTTCTGGCACATCTCATCATAAAGTTTGAAAGCCTCTTTTATATCACCGTGCCTGCAGAAGCCAGAAATGAGAGAGCTGTAAGTGAAAACATCAGGAACCAGACCCTTTTTGTGGAGCTCAGAAAAAACTTGTATTGCTTCCTGTAGTTTCTCATTTTTCAAGAGGCCATGGATGAGCACAGTGTAAGTTTGCACATCAGGAAGCACTCCTCGTCCAAGCATAAGTCTAAAAACTGAGAATGCTTCCATTGTATTCCCCTCTTTGCAGTGCCCATCAATCAGTGCTGTATAAACAACATCATTTGGCATTATACCACAGCCAAGCATCTCTCTGAAATACCTGTCTGCCAACTGCATTTCCCCTGTTTTACTATATCCATTAATGAAAGCCCCATAAGTATATGTATTTGGTTTTAATCCCCACTCCACCATTTCAGCAAGATAAGTTCTTGCTTCTTCCATCTTTTTTGCTTTGCAGAGGCCAATTATCAGGGAATTGTAGCAGAAGGTGTCAGGCAAAATGCCTTTCTCCCTCATTCCCTTGAAAATTATTATTGCCTTTTCAAGCTTACCTTCCTGAACATGACCTTTTATAAGAGTAGTATAGATAATGGAATTTGGTTTCAAACCCTCTGCAACCATGTTCTCCAAAATGGAATTAGCTCGTTGGAGATCTCCAGAACGGCATAGTCCATTGATGATCAAGCCGCAAGTGTATGCCGTAGGTGTCAACTTTCTTTCCTTCATCTCAACCAACAGCTCATTAGCCTTGACCATATTAAGCTCCCGACTATACCCCTCAATTAAACAATTATAATTTTCAATATCAGGTTTTATACCCATTACAATCATCTTACTCAGGATATCACTTGCCTTCTCCATCTGACCAACCTTGCAGAGCCCATTAATCATTGCATTATAAGTCACATTATTTAACTTCAGTCCACGAGAAACCATCTCATCCTTGACTCTGAAAGCCTCTTCCACATCAGCTTGTTTCATGAACCCATCAATCAAAACGGTATAGGGAAAATGGTCAGGGTTCAGACCCATATTGACCATTTCTTCTAGAATCACTTTTGCCTCTCTGGACCTCTTCTTTTTGCAGAACCCATTAATAAGAATTGTGTAAGTATACCTATCTGGAACCAACCCTTTCTCAGCCATCGACCTCTTTAGGTCGAATGCTTCGTCCACAAGCCCAGCGCTGCACAGACCTCCAATAATCACATTGTAGGTAATTATATTGGGACGACAACCCTTCTCCCCCATTTCGTAAAGGATCCTTTTACCTTCCTTAACATTCCCAACCTTACAATGAGCATTAATCACATTGGTGTAAGTATAAACATCAGGACCTATCTTGGCCTCTAGCATTCCATCATACACCTTCCAAAACAACTTCAATGCATTACTTTTCAGTAAATCTCTCAACAGAGAGTTACCACAAATCAAACTAGGCAAATATCTACCATTTCTAGCAGCTAAAAATACAGAAGCAGCTTCATTCAACATTCCCATTTTCTTATAAGCATTAATCAATATATCAAACACCACAGGATTGGATTTAGACCCATCACACTCTGCATAACAACTAACAATAGAATCCAAAATTGCCGAAACAGGCTTACGGGTTTCAATCATTCGCTCAATAACTCCATTCGCATGCGCAAATAAATTCGAATTACAGAGCAAAATCGCAAGAATTGAGAAAGAATTCAAATTTTGAGGGGTACCCAGTTGGCGATGAGACCAATCGAAGAAACCCAGGAGGCGCTTGGGGTCACACACCTGGTTTTGGTGAAGAACGGATCGAACCACATCTGGGTTTAGCTTGCTGGGCAGGTTTGTTGAATCTATGAGCAATTCCCAATTGTCGTGCTTTAGAATGGTTGAGATTTCTCCAACTGTGACCCCATTCTCGCTGGAGGTCTGTGAGCTGTGGAAGTGTTTGAATTTCGCAGAAACATGTCTTGATATTGAGAAAATGCATCGATCTTTGTATATGAGGACTTTCTTGGGTGAGAACAAGGCCATAATAATCTGACTTCTTGCAGTCAGATCTGCAGAAATGGATATATATAAGATGATTATATATAGGACATAGAGCTTCTTCACATCTTTCCCACAGCGAGCGTTGGTGGTGTGCTTGATAAATGGTGTTGCAGAGCAGTCAAGCCTTTATCAAACGACGCCGTCAAGGTTGGTTCTCTATTCTCTGGTCTCTCTAGGTTGGAATCTAGGTTTCATGTAAATCAAGTTTACCGTCGGGTTTGCTCACCGGAACTGTGTTTGAGATTTCTTGTATCGGCTTTCTGCTACATGAAGTTCTCTTTGCTTTGGGTTGGGGTTAGCTCTGGGCTTTGGATTGGGTTTGCCTCCGGGCTTGTAATTTGCCTCTAGTGGGCTGTTTGGGCCAAAGGCCTTTCTGGTATCTTTTTCTCTATCTATTCAATTCGCTTAATTTTTCAAAAAAAAAAAATAAAAATAAAAAAGAGTTTACTGTCGGGGTCTAAATGTGTGCTGATTAAAAAAGATAATAATAACAAAAATGTCTAAATGTAAGACTTTCTACTTTAGAACAATTTTACTTGACCTATTTCAATAATCTATATAAATAAATTTTAAGGTAATAAATGTGAGTTCTATTAACTCGGAATATATGATTAAACCCAGTTAATTTATAACTTAATTTTATTACAAATCCAGATAGCCCTTTCAGACAATATTTAAATTAAATTAAATTAGTTTTAGTTTTAATTTAATATTAAAGTTGATATTTGACAAAAGTTATTAGATTATATATCAAATAAATTCAATATAGTTAAGTGGGTTAGTGCCTCTTGTAAAATTTGAAATATCAGACATTGACTCTCTACATTTATTAATCTAATTTTTAACACTTCTTTATTTTATAAAAAAATTAAAAATAAATCCATTATATTTCATACCCTAATTACAAGGATTTTTTTTTTGTCCGCTTTTGCTTGTATTTATATATAATTGCTCTATCAACTTATCAAGTACTATGCCAACTAGTTTTTATTTATCTAGAGAAAATAGTTAAGCTAATTTTTATTTATCATTATTGTCTTCATCTTCTTCTCTAGATTATGAATTGAATTATTTATTCTTAGCATGATGGATTGAACTTCCTTCATCTTTTATGGAAACGAGAGCTTGATAATACGAGATGAGAATGTCGTCGTAAATTCACACTAATGCTTCGTTTGGTAGGAAAGAAGAAAATTGAATAGAAGGGAAAGCAGAAGAGATAAATGAGAAATTCTAAGAAAAAAGATTGTGTCATTCCACTTTTTATTTGGTTGAATGAAAAAGAAGATAATATGATAATACCTTATTTTATTTGTTAGGAAAGAAGAGATCGAAGAGAGAGTGTTACTTATAAGGTAAGTTTTATAATTTAAAAACTTTTACAAAAATCTTGCCTTTTTTACCTTATGTCTTTCGAACATATTTGGAGGGATAAAAATTTGTGAATGAGGAAGGATAACTCATCCATTCTCTTTTCTTTTCTCTTCTTGTCTCCTCTTTAATTACCAAACAAATGAAATTTATTTTTTCCTTTATATCTTCCCTTCAACCCTCTTCCTTCTTTCCTACCAAATAGAGCTTAAGTGAATCAAGTTGATGGTTCCTTTTTTTTTTTTTTTTCAACGATTTGGTAATATTGAGGATGTTGAAAGTAGTTCTTGTTGGAAACTAGTTCTGAAAACTAGTGTTTCAAGTGCGAATGAAACTTGTCTGCAACTTATTTATAGTCGGGTGTCTATCTGTATCACGTTAGATTACAACGTGAATATCTTAGTGTAAAGGTTGCATGTAAAGTCCAAAATTCAGGTTATTTAACATAACCTTTACCGATTCTTTAACATATTATAAACGTTTAATGTGGTTGAGGATTGGTTAAAAACGGTTAATAAACTGAAATGATGCACTGGATTATAATACATGTGTGAATGGGTGTATTGGTTGAAAAGGTATAATTGAAGAGACACCATGTGAATCATTGCAACCCATTGGAGTGGATGTGTCTAGTGGTGAACAGACACCATGTGAACCATTACAACCTATTGGAGTGGATGTGTCCAGTGATGAACAGACACATATAAATGGTTGTGTCCAGTGATGAAAAGACACATACAAATGGTTGTGTTCAATGATGAAAAGACACATATAAATAGTTGTGTCCACTGATGAAGACACACACCCAATAAAAAAAAGGCATTTCTATTTCTATAAATACCTCCTTGGACTGCCATTTGCAATTCGTTCAATTCATTTTCTTCTCTCTCCTTTTCTAGACTTGAACCCAACCCAAATGGGTTCAAACCATAGGTCAAGTGGTCTGAGCCACCTAGGCCCTAATCTAATTTCATTGAGCCATATTAAGATTGGTGCAAACCATTTGGTTCAAATTGCACCCAATTTAGCATTTATATTGTAACGACCCAAATCCGGGGATCCGGATTGCTAATCGGGTCCTTACCCGGACTCGAGGGGACATGGGGGTACTATGGTCATTTCACATTAATTTAATACTTCAAGGTCCACTAAAGGTAAGACCATCATTTACTAGAGTCATCCAAGGATTTAAATGAGATCCGGGGGCCTTATGGTCGTCCCATGTTATTCTAATACTTCTATAGTTTGTAAGGGTCTAATGGTCTTTTTACGTTGTCAAATAATAATATTATGCCTAAAAGAGTAAAATAGGCCTTTACCATGGTTAAATAGTGATATAAAGACTCGGGGGCAAAATAGTCATTTTCTAGGCACAATATAACATTTGTACCTTTTAGGGGTAATTCTGTCATTTTCAAGGGTCATTATGTACTTTGGTTGGATTATGGGGTCAAATGTGCAATTATACAGTAGTTTGAAGTTAAACAGAGATATTGGGTTAATCAAAACGATTAGATGTGTTATCTAATCGATTAAATGACCTTTCCAGTGAACGTGCAAAATCCCAAATCCCCCATATGTGCACACACTTCCCCATTTGTGCGCACATATATTGATCTGTGTGCACACTTCAGTGATCTATGCGCACAGATGATTGGCTAAAAGTTTACAACACCACTGCCAATCCCATCTAATTGGTTAGATGGGTAATCTAACTGGTTAGATGTTTCCCAAACGTGATCTAACCTGTTAGATGACCCAATCCAACCAGATAGATGGTGTCCAAAAACTTTGCGATGATGAAAACAGACCCTTTGTCTCGTTCCACTGTCACTAACGTGTTACTGTCACCAATGTGTGTGAACGTGAAAATAAAAACTACTATTTTTGGCAGCATAGCTAAGGTTCTATTTGATTTTGGAACATATTCCATCATTTCTATGACATTTATGGATGCACTTGGGATCAAACCTGATGTTCTTAATGATCCTGTAACGATTGTCATACCTCTTGGTGGGGCAACATCATTAGATCGGATATGTAGAGCTTGTCCAATCCATTTTGGAGAGCTTGAGTTGTCAGCCAACTTGATAGTACTTGCTATGAGTGAGTTGGATATCATTCTAGGGATGGATTGGCTAACAAAGCGTCACGCTAGACTGGATTGTTTTGAGAAGAATATTAATTTCTCAATGTCTGGAGAGTCACCATCTTAGTTCTTATGTGGTGAGTTTGAGGGTACTTTAACTATGGGATTTCTCGCTCATATTAAGACTGTTGAGCAAAGGACTTCAGTTGAGCAACTGCCTATTGTGTCTCGATATATAGATGTGTTTCAGGAGATACTAGGATTACCTCCGAGGAGGGCACTTGACTTTTGTATTGATCTTATACGTGATACTGCACCGATTTCAAGGGCACCATATAGAATGGCTCATGTGGAGTTGACGAAGTTAAAGAAATAACTTCAAGATTTATCAGCTCGGGGTTTCATCAGGGTGAGTATGTCACCTTAGGGTGCACCAGTTCTATTTGTTAAGAAGAAAGATGGGTCACTTCAGTTGTGCATTGACTATCGTTGATTGAATAAGGTGACCATCAGGAATAGGTATCCCTTACCTTGCATTGATGATTTATTTGGCTAGCTTTGTGGAGCTCGATATTTTTCCAAGGTTGATTTGAGAACAGGGTATCACCAGCAGAGGGTTAGAGAGAAGGATATTCCTAAGACGCCTTTAGGACTCGTTATGATTTATACGAGTTCATAGTCATGCCTTTTGGTCTGACAAATGCCCCAATTGCATTTATGTATATGATGAATAAGGTGTTCCAGCCATTTCTAGATCAATTTGTGGTAATCTTTGTAGATGACATCCTAATATACTCCAAGACTCGGGAGGAGCAAGGGCGACACTTGGAGATAGAATTATAGATGTTACATGACAATCAACTTTACGCTAAATATGAGAAATGTGAGTTCTAGCAGGAACAGGTTCAGTTTTTGGGATATGTGATCTCTAGCAGTGGAGTAGCTGTGGATCCTACCATGGTAGAAGCTGTGTTGAGTTGGAAACTGCCAAAGATAATCACTGAGATTTGAAGTTTCTTGGGATTAACAGGATATTATCGACATTTTATTAAGGGTTTCTCAAAGATTGCAGCGCTATTACTTAGTTGACTCGGAAATGGGTGAAGTTTGTATGAGATGATAGATGTGAGCGAGCTTTTGGTGAGCTCAAGACTAGGTTGACCATAGCTCCAGTACTCACAATTCCAGTCAGTGCTAGGAGCTTTATTATTTATACTGACGCATCATACTAGGGTCTGGGTTGTGTGTTAATACAAGAGGGTAAAGTTGTGGCTTATGCATCTCGATAGCTCAAGACACATGAGCATAACTACCCTACACATGATTTGAAGTTGGCAGCCATTGTTCTTGCATTAAAGATGTGGAGGCATTATTTATATAGTGAGAAGTTTAACATGTTTTCAGATCATAAGACTCTTAAGTACTTATTCTTACAGGATGAACTCAACATGAGACAACGTAAATGGATGGAACGGTTGAAGGACTTTGAGATGACTATTCAGTATCACCCTGGAAAGGCTAATGTAGTAGCTGATGCTCTAAGTCAGAAGCCGAGGGTTTTGATTGCTTTTATGATGATTGAGGAATGGAAGATGTTAGAGGCTTTGACAGAGTTTTCTGTTATCTACTCCAGAGGTTAGCGGGAGTCTTCTTTGTAGCTTGACTTTACAACCGACCTTGATTAGTACGATCATTCAGGCACAAGAGCTAGACGCTCGATTACAGTCTAGACTTTCGAAGAGGGATGATTGTTCAGATTGGACGCAAGGTACAGATAATGGAGTGAGGTACCGTGGGAGATTATGTGTTCCTGATATACCAGACTTGAGGAGGGAGATATTAAAGGAAGCGCATCATTCTAGTTACACAATGCATCCAGGATGAACTAAGATATATCGTGATCTTCGTAGATAGTTTTGGTGGGATGGCATGAAATGTGATATAGCGGAGTATGTGTTAAAATGTATGGTGTGCCAGCAAGTGAAGGTTGAACATCAGAAACCTGTTGA